CCCCCCCCCCCCCACCGCCCATCTTTTTTCCATGGGATAGAGGGAGGGGATTGGGGGCCAACCGCTTGAATGGTGTGGTGGGTCACTAATGGTTGTTGACTGTGGTGGACTTGGGTTTTTGATGTTGATTCGATGAGAGTCATTGTAGGCAGAATCGATAGCTTGAATGGATAGGATCAATGGTGGGACACCACATTGGTGGATGGGCGGTTTCGGATATGTGGGTGTTGACTGGGTTGAATTAGTGAGCAATGCTATGCTTATCAAATCATTTACCAAATATTGTATTCCAAATTAGTGTAGGTGGTTGGATCAGTGCAGTCCATTAACTCTACCAAATATTTAATTCATACGGTATACAAGATTTAGTAAACAAATTTGGACAGCACAGTTTTATGTATGTGTATGTAAGAGAGAGAGAGGAAAAGGAAGAAAATAAGGGGTGGAGGTGTTTGGTTATAACACTAGTTTTAATTTGGTTAAAATAGTTTTGGATGCATGATTAATATTATAACAATGAAGAATGAGGTGAAATTTATCAATCTTGTTCATGTCAACTTTTTCTATGGCATAGTGAGGCTGGTTAATTCAACTTATTAAAAGTAAAGGGTCCTTGCGCTATTGTTGAAATTTCAGGGTCTGTGCTGTTTGGCAAATGTTATGGTGCGTCCCCCCTTCTTTTTGCACAAAGTCTGAACATGGCATTACTTTAGGAAACAAAAGGGTAAAAATCAATATTTTTTTTCTCATTCACCAAGTCTGAACGTGACATGACTTCAAGAATAAAAAGGTAAAAATCAATGACAGCAGTTGAAAGGAAAAAGAATGAAGATTAATTAAAATTGGGGTACTTACCCAAAAAAAGAAGTCCATTATCTGGTTAAATGTTCTTAAAATCTTTTGACTGCAGGATTTTCTTCTAGATCAGTCATATGTATACACCGTCTCTGCCAACTGTCTCAGTAAACTTATTTCTAATAATTCATGCTACATGCTGCAGGAAGTCACTTCTGCTTGTAGCGGGAGCTATTATAATCCAAGTGAGAATTGTGAAAGCAAGCTTGCGAAAGTTGATGCAGTAAGACACAGCTTTTGACTATTTATAAAAGAGTTACCAGATATAGCATATACTTTCCCCCAAAAAAAGATATAACATATGATGTGCTTTCTATTATTTGCCAATGGATTCTAAAATTCTGGCTAAACCAGGACATTGTAGAAATAAACATATACAACATTCTAGAACCATGCTATCATGGCACAGAATCAGGGGAGATGACAGCTGGTAACATGAAGTTGCCATTGAGCTTCAGGAAACTAGGTGAGACTGAAAGGCCTCTTCCTGTGAGAAAAAGAATGTTTGGCCGCGCATGGCCTCTTAGAGCTCCTGTAAGAGATGGGATAGTCCCAACTTGGCCACAGCTTCTCAACAGTAACAGTGTCCCATGCACTGTAAGTCGTTCTAGTTCCTATCCCTCCTTTTGTGCTGTTGATGTCCAATAGTTTTCTTATGCCTGCATGCCTTGATTTATCAGCAGCATGTGCCCGATTGTGCTTGCTGATCAACATATATTTAAAACTTAACCTAGTTCATGTTTTCATCTTGTAGAGCATTTGTCCTGAACATTGTGAGACATGGTTCCTTCTCTATCAATTATTATGTATCACTATTCCATCCTTTATTTCTCATTATAGGTTTTGAGAAGCTAAAACTGGAGTGCTGTGTAGTATTATATTATGATCAAACTGAATGTTAACTTTGTAACATGAGCTTAAAGTCCTAAAAGTTTAGTTATATTGCATGGTGTACATCAATAAGTGCTGCTATTGTGTTCAGATTAAAATGTAATGACTACAATTTTAGATAATGTTAAATATTCGAAACATATCTGTGAGAAATCATACACGATAACATATGATGTGGCAACCATATTATGCGACTTCAGTGCTCTAGCAAGGCAAGAAACCTTACGCCAAAATGTGTCACGAGAGGCTTTTTAAGTCTTTTGAGCAGCATAATTATAATTTGTGTGAGTGCTGGACATTCATCATGCTTGGATTACCACCTTGTCTGCCTTTAAATGTTTCTGTCAGTCTCTCTCTGCAAAAGATGCATCTTCTGGTACTTGAAACTTTCTACATGCTTTCTTTCTGGTTTTAGTGTCGTGACATTGCATCCTTTAGTTCTTTTTATGCGTATGATGGACGGCTTGCTATCATTTTTCTTTGCCTCTTGATGTTTGGCATTGGCCATCTTGTCAGGATTTATTGCAAGCACACTCATGATTGGGATTCAATATGCAGGATGATGAAGTTGCAACTTCATGGCTGAACAATGCAGCAGTTCGGAAAGCTATTCATGCAGAAACAGTAAGAGCTCATCATCTTAAATTTTACAGTTGTTTGAAGCATTGACTTTACAATCCCGTTGATACACTAGGAAAGTGTGGCGGGCCCTTGGGAGCTATGCACGGACAGGATTGAATATAGGCATGATGCTGGAAGCATGATCAAGTACCACAAGAACCTAACCTCAAGAGGAATTCGTGCACTTATATTCAGGTGAATTTACTGCTTTACCTCTTCTCTACATTCATTGCCTATCTATTTAACTTTTGAACAACATGCTTCGAATTTATTGCTCTTTACAATGATAAAACCTCAGACCACAAACTATAAGAATGTGGATTATGATCGAACCACTTCACACATACAGTTCTAAAGATTAGTCTGTGCAGATTGAATCCCTCTGAGACCCTGAAGTTACGGCATTGACAACGAGTGAGGTTTTTGTGACAACCCCGATCGCTTCGTAGAATAGGGAAGGTATTATTTTGGAGCCCCACTGCTCTTGATGTGGGATATATTACCTATTGAGGATTCCAAACTAATTTTGTTTTCCTCTGTCAAAGTATCTTACATAGAAAAGAGGGAATAGTAGTCTAGAATGGCAGTGTGATTCCTTTGTATGGATTTTCAATTTCCTATTAGTCCATGCTAAATGATGCCCTAAACCTAATCCCCCATTGAATTATATCACCCCTTTGACTCTGCACTATTTTGTTCATCAAGTACATGAGCATTAATGGTGCAACGATGAAAGAATGTTATTTTCTTTCTGATGATGAGACCAGCCTTCTAGAAAATCTAGCTAATTTAACGAACTGCTAAACAGACTTGAAATATTCTTTTCATATACATATGTAGAGAATATTTGTCTCTCTTTCACTTTTACTTTACATCAATTTAGAAATAAAAAACAAACATGTAATCATTTTTGAATGTTGTCTTATGTGTCGTGATACATGCAATGTTCTGCTCCGAAGGATATGCAATTAATCATTTGCCCTACATGGGAGAGGAGCAATATCAAATGTCTTCATGTACACATCTGATTAAAATTAATCATGCATATACCCATTTCTGGCAGTGGGGATCATGATATGTGTGTTCCATACACTGGGAGTGAAGCTTGGACAAGATCAGTGGGATATGAGGTTGTTGAAGACTGGAGGCCCTGGACACTGAGTGGACAAGTTGCTGGGTATGCATCTATTTTGGAAACATCTTTACTTAAGGAGAGAGCGCCATTGTTGCAAAAAATTGTCACCTAAGAGGAATGACTTGGTTCATGAAACCTTTCGTGAACTTCCACTATAAACTAATAACTTACCTGTCTTAAACATTCTTCAAGGTGGGAATCACCCAGAAAGCTTTCCTCCCTGCAAGAACCCACTGTAACTGTTGTCTTCTTCATTGCAGGTACCTACAAGGGTATGACAAAAATCTCACCTTTATCACCATCAAGGTCTGGTACATACAAAGCTTCTGTTTTGATTAATTCCTTCAGAATTTGTCAACATGTCTCAAGTAATTTATATTGTGAATTATTTGTTGCTACTTTACAGCTATTCAATTCTTGTGTTATATACTCTATTTTCTGCTATTCAAAGGAACCGAAAAGAAAAGTGCATTTTGATCTTTAATGTCTGTGCAGGGAGCTGGACATACCGTCCCAGAGTACAAACCACGCGAGGCATTGTCGTTTTATACCCGCTGGTTGGAGGGCAATCGAATCTGAAAGATGTTACAGTGGGATTCCTTGGAAAGAAAAACAACAGGAAAATTCATTAGTAAACTTCTATTTTCCTGTTTACTAGTCTTGGTTGACATGATTGATGAGCATAGAAGAAATCATAACATAAGCAAATGAATGAAAGAATGCCCTTGATATAGCCGTGGCTATGTACTAACAGATCTGAATTGAGCCATTTATATTACTGCTGTTTACTTCATCCATGCAGGAAAGAAAATTAAAACTCAGAATTTTGCTATGATATCGAAGGTTATATTAAGTAATGATTTAAACAAATCAAGTTAAGACGCAATGGAATTTGTTTTAACTAGTTTTGNAAAGAATGCCCTTGATATAGCCGTGGCTATGTACTAACAGATCTGAATTGAGCCATTTATATTACTGCTGTTTACTTCATCCATGCAGGAAAGAAAATTAAAACTCAGAATTTTGCTATGATATCGAAGGTTATATTAAGTAATGATTTAAACAAATCAAGTTAAGACGCAATGGAATTTGTTTTAACNATTGCTGTTTCCTTCATCCATGCAGGAAAAAAAATTAAAACTCAGAATTTTGCTATGATATCGAAGGTTATAATATCATAAAATTTTATGATAAAATAAAATTAAGTAATGATTTAAACAAATCAAGTTAAGACGCAATGGAATTTGTTTTAACTAGTTTTGAGCATCATTTAAATGAAACATATCAATTACACTTATAAATATGTTTTTATCCATATAATTAGTAGGAGGAGAAGTTTACGGTATTAAAAAAGAAGTACAATAGCATATAATTATTACTAATTTTGTAATTGTTATAATTTCGAGAGTTATTTATAATTTTTATAATAATTTGCGATCGATCCTCCAACTATTATGATCGATAGCAAAGATACCATAAAAGTGATATGACAACTTAGTTTAAAGTCCTAGTATGACTTAAAAAATTATAATTTTTTATTTTAAATAATTTCAAAAAACATATCAAAATATACGAAAGTTATAAAATTTAAAAGTATAAGGATGAAAGGAATTANCGATATAATTAGTAGGAGGAGAAGTTTACGGTATTAAAAAAGAAGTACAATAGCATATAATTATTACTAATTTTGTAATTTTTACAATTTTGAGAGTTATTTATAATTTTTATAATAATTTGCGATTGATCCTCCAACTATTATGATCGATGGCAAAGATAAGTGATATGACAACTTAGTTTTTAAAAGTTGTAATTCAAACTTTAAAGTCCTAATCTGACTTAAAAAATTATAATTTTTTATTTTAAATAATTTCAAAAAATCATATCAAAATATACGAAAGTTATAAAATTTAAAAGTATAAGGATGAAAGGAATTAAAAAATTGTAATAAGGACTATTTTCTCGTTAATTCAGTGGCATATTTCACCATACCGTACTATATTCACAGGAGCCAAGCGCGTCACACCTAAACTCACACACAGACACTCTCTCTCTCTCTCTCTCTCTCTCTCTCTCTCTCTCGTTCCCATTAGACTCAAAGCTCTGAGCAATGGCGGTCGCAACTCTACAAAAACTCTCCTCCCGAATCTCCTGCAACCCTTCGCTCTCCCTCTATTCCAGAGCAATCATCACAAGATCGTCAGCCTCATCATCGACGACATCCCCATCTACCTCCAGAAAAGTCTCGGACCGAATCGTGAAACTCTTCGCAATCGATCTCGACGGCAAGAAACGCGAGATCGTGGGCCTCTCTGGCCAGACACTCCTCAAAGCCCTNCGTTCCCATTAGACTCAAATCTCTGAGCAATGGCGGTCGCAACTCTACAAAAACTCTCCTCCCGAATCTCCTGCAACCCTTCGCTCTCTCTCTATTCCAGAGCAATCATCACAAGATCGTCAGCCTCATCATCGACGCCATCCCCATCTACCTCCAGAAAAGTCTCGGACCGAATCGTGAAACTCTTCGCAATCGATCTTGACGGCAAGAAACGCGAGATCGTGGGCCTCTCTGGCCAGACACTCCTCAAAGCCCTAGCTAACAACGGATTGATCGATCCGGCGTCGCATAGGCTCGAAGAGATCGATGCTTGCTCGGCCGAGTGCGAGGTCAATATAGCTCAGGAGTGGCTCGAAAGATTGCCTCCGGCTTCGTACGATGAGCAGTATGTGCTGAAAAGGAACTCGAGGAATAGGGTTTTGAATAAGCACTCGAGGTTGGGGTGTCAGGTTGTGCTCACCCAGGAGCTTCAGGGAATGATTGTGGCCTTGCCGGAGCCGAAGCCCTGGGACATACCATAATAAAGGTTTGCGAAATTCATACTTCATTGTATGGTCATCTGGATGGATTTTTTGGTATTTTGAGCTGAATGAATAATGTGCACACTTTTGGTACTTGATTTGGTTTAGTGCTTCAAGTAATTGTGACAATTTCTGTAATATTTGGATTTGTGGGTTTAATTCTGTTGTGTCTGGCAATAGGTGCATAATTTGTTCTTGTACCTTTTGTTTTATAATTGGTTCCCATTGGCGAAGCTGTTGAATTGTTGGGAACGGCCTTGGAATTTCTCAGTTTCCTATTGAAAATCATGAGAGAATTGGAAGTTTATTACTCACTTTTCTTCCAATCATTGGATTGTTTGCCCAAGTAAAATTATTGTTTAGACTGCCAAAGTTTCAATGGTTTCCTTTTCATTCGTTTACCATGGTGACCATGAATAACCTGGAGGAGGATGTACCACCACGAGGTGAGTAAGTTAAGACTTGGAGAATGATTTGTGTCTTCAGTTCGGATATATGTAGGTGGGAATGCAGGTTAGGTTATTATGCCAATTCAGCTCCAAGGATTTGTAGGGAAGTTGGAACTTTACTAGATGGTTCCTTTAAAATGAAAAAGGTGTATGTTTTCTTGTTAGGATACATGGAGAATTGTTTATCATATGGAGATATTTGAACAATATGTGAGGATACAAAGTTATTTCATACGGAGAATGGAAAGGGTGAGTAGAGAGAATTGCTATTATGGTGACATTCAAATCTTTTGAATGATAAAACATTGTCAAGTTGTGCTATACTTTCCTCAATGACATGTCTTACATAAGGATTACAGCTGTTTCTGGCCCAAATAAGGGAAGTTTCAACTTTGCCTGCAGTTGAATTTCAATTGGGTTGAGTTCTTATAGGTGTGTGTACTGTGGAGTGTTCTGTCATGTTATATAATGAATACTGGATTGGGAGCATTTTTCTCATGGAAAATTAATGTTAGGCATGATTACTACGATTTATTGGCTTGATATTGGGGTAAATGAATGTTTGTTTATTAGGAGTTGTAAGTCAGTCTTAGTAATTTTTGTTTAATTTGAATTGTCAGAAATTACAAAACTCTTTGTCTTCTAGATGTTGTGTCATTAGTTTAACTAACAAAATGTGATGACTCTTGAATCAATGCTTCTTGAAACATGCTATTGGCTGCACTTAAATTCGTGTGTCATGGTCTTTATTGTTTGTGTCTTTTCCATTGTTAATAATGTTGCTTGATTGCGGTATTTTAGATTAACATCCATGGGTTAGATGTTGTGGTGGAGCCAATGCTAGATTCAGGGTAAAGTTGTGTTAGTGTTGGGGTTGTTAACATTAAGAAAATGGCTGTATTTTCTGCTTCCTTCCTCATAATATTGTCCAGACTCCGTATTCTAATCTTAAAAGTCTGAGGTATGACCTGCTTATGTTGAAGAATATATTTCTTGTCTTGTTCCTCATGTATGCTCCACTTTTCTTTCTGAACGACCTCATATCAAGAATCTTTTTCTTCTAAATCCCTCCACAATGGTTTTTCATTTGTTCCAAGAACACCCCTGGTCCATGCGTTACTTAATCATTATACAAGAATTCCTTGTTGAACTTGAAGTGCTGGTCGAATCAAATTATGTTTATTGGCATTTGTATTTCAAAATTGGCTGGTTAACAAAGGACTAACTCTACTTCAAGTATCAATCTTTGGGTTGAGTGCTAGAATGTGATGTAATACTAAAGTCAAATAACCTTTGCCTCAACTAAGAATCAGTTAAGGCCATTTTTCTTAGGGCTTCCTTTTAAACTAAATTGCTCTTCAGTTCCCAAATCTATGTTGCAACTTGTCCTCCCTCCATCACTTAGTAGTATACATTTGGCTGGGTAAATCTTTTAGTCGGGCTCCCACGTAGTTTATTTCGTGGTTCCTTTTGCACAAGTACTACTTTTTTTTTTTGCTCGTGTTGCACAAGTACTACTTGTAAGTATGCTTAGAATGCTGATTTTCTCATTAGAAATCATTTGCTTACCCTCAACTGCCCTTCTCTTCTACATGAAAATTTTTTGTACACAGGCACTCTACCTATGGTGCAGCACTCTTTTTCGGCAGAGTGATTTTATACGAGAGGCCATTTTATCCAGGAATGTTTGTGGCCTTAGTTTTGTTCTTTTGGTGTTTTCATCTCATTTTGAAGCGACTGCAGCAAACTTAACGTGATAAATCACAGTTGTGATTGAGTAGCCTGTTAGAGGATGCTGGATAATGCAATTCCCTCATGCTGACCCTACACATTGCCTCATGTCTTGTTCTTCTCATGTTCATTATCTCAAGTACTGTGCGTGCATGTAAGAACCATGTAGATTAAGGTTACAATTTACAAAGAAAATAGTTAATTTTTTGTTATAAAAGAAGGCCTAGACACCTGGTACTCTTGTATGTTGTTTGGAAGAAATGTATCCATATCAGTGGCTGGAGGTTGATGACTAAAGTAGTTCAACAGTGAGGCATAGTTTCAACTGTTTTCCGTGCTTGTGTTTGTTTTGTTTTTTTTAAAGTTGTTTGAACTGGTGCTTGTGTTTGTTGATGCTTCTGTGTGAGAATACTTTTTTAAATATTCTGGTGACGGGTTGCATGGATGTTTTGCCTTTGATATGAGTAGGTGAGTTTGTATTGAACATTCCCATTCGTAATGGTTTCACATTGGAGAACATATGCTACAATTGCCTGTGATCATGATTCATCCAATACAAAGACACGCAGGCGACGAACGCGGAATGGTCTCGGTCCAGGAAGAACAAGTCANTCGCCTGTGATCATGATTCATCCAAATACTCTTAGATGGATCTCTCGAGGTTTGTATTCTTTTCATAGAGAAGGCTACGGTACTAGGGAAAAAAAAATTGGCCAAATTTTACGAGTATTATGGACAAACGGGAAGCAGACACGTGGACAAAGACACGCAGGCGACGAACGCGGAATGGTCTCGGTCCAGGAAGAACAAGTCAAATTGTCCAACAATATTAATGCTTGGGACTGAGCATTGATGGTGTACGACAGTTGGGCCCAATGACACGATTTGACATCACCAATACGGCATGGGGAAGCGGATGTCCCAAGTAATGATGGTTGAATGCCCTCCTATCTCTCTTGGCCTGTTAGAGAATGTGTATAAAGGTATCAAATGGATCAATCATATTATACCTTCTTATAGTTGCCTATTTAATGGTCGGGCTTGATCATGCCCCAATGAGACAAGGAATAGGGTTTGCCACTTAGGTTTCCTCGGCAAAGAATGATGAATTGATTGACAGTAATAGTTTTGGCTTACATTCCCCAGAAAACTGTAAGTGCGTGGCTCAACAAGCAGTAATGGAGCGGCTCAATGGTGGTTGACCCGCTCTCGATTGGGGCTAGTTCTCTGTCGTCTCCATGTATGAACCTATCAAGGAAGAGCCCCTTTGACATACTGTCAGGATGTCTAGATTGTCTGGCGGCCTCGTTTCAAGCACAAGTCATATCCCTCGGGTATAAATACCCCACTTAGCTTAAAGTCATAGTCATGCAATCTGGCCACACAAGACATTTTGTTTGCCTCTCCATCATTCACATGACTGACTTGATCAACAAAGAGAAATCATCGGATACAATTTCAACCCATTAGTTAAATCCTTATTTTTAGCTATTTTGGCGAGACAAGCTCCAAAAATCTGCTTCATCTGGCTAGCCATTCTACTCACTTAAATGTAGGAGATCTTTCATGCTTGTCAGATCTGGAGATGGAGAAGAAGCTCGNATATCCAACCCTTTCTAATTCTACTCGCTCTCAAGTTCTTTTCGTCCAATCTTCCTCTAGTGATATCTCCCTGAGTGCCACTATCTCTATATTTGTTGGAAATTGTCCTCACATAATTCACTATAGTTATTGAATTAACTGTGAATCTTATCAAACATGAGGGCTTGGTGACTTGGTGTTATATTTAAATAACATTATTCTAATTAGAATCTCAGCCTAAGCTCTGGAATACACATTTGTTTGTGACAGTAATAAACAATCATCAAGTAATAATAAAACATCAAATAGAATTGATGAATTTTATTATTCTAATATGATATTTATTAGATAAGGTTGTTATTGGTGCTTATTACAATATGAAAATTGGGCTGAGTCCTTTTAAGGGATTTATAACGAGTTTAGTCCGTCAATAAAATTTATTTGGGATAAGTCCGCTTTTAATTTTACTAATAAATAGTTAAATCCGCTATTTTTTTAAAACTCTAAGATACCCTTTCTTTGAAAGCAACTTTAAATTAGTTTCCTAATTTGAGAATTATTATCTCTTAATTCATTATTAATGAAGATATGTCACTAATTTTTTTTATATAAATTTGAAATTTAAATTTAAATAACAACTCATACTCTCTCTATATATATAATTTTTTTTTTTATCATATTATTGTTTTTGTGAGCATATTACTGTTCATGTTACTATATTTTGTTGAGTATGTTAGAGCAATTTCAACCGACTAGTTAAATCCTTATTCTTAGCTATTTTGGCGAGGCAAGCTCCAAAAATCTGCTCCAACTGGCTAGCCATTCTACTCGCTTAAATGTAGGAGATCTTTCATGCTTGTCAGATCTGGAGATGGAGAAGAAGCTCGTCAAACTTCTCGTTGGCTCTTTCTTCTTCATATTTTTCCAATTTCTACCTTTGTCTTTCTTCAAGTGTTGCTGTCAGGTACATCTTCTTCATCCCCCACCCCCCAAGTTATAGACTCCCCCATCCACCCATTCTAAAACCCACCTCCCCCTACCCATTCTGCATCTGAAACCCATTTCCCCCATTTCTCAAATTCTGAACCCCTCAACTAATTCTAAACCCCCCCCCGGACCAAAATTCTGAAACTTTCCCCAACAAATTCTGAAACCCTCCAAAATTTTGAAAACTCCCTTATTTTTATATATAATAAAATATTTACATTTAGACCCTATGAAATATTAATGTAAGTATTTAGAAAAATCTTAGATTTATAAGACGTATTGTGCAATTGATTTTTGTTATTTAAAGTGGATGAGTGTTAAATTGTCATAAAGTTGTATTATTTAAAATTTAATTAGAATTATTATTATGATATAATTTTGGTTGGGTGTATGATTATACATGTTTTGAGTTAAATTTTTAAATTATATTATTGAAAATTAGTTAAAGTTAGTTGAAGTAGTCAACTAAAATAGAGAGAGAGCGTGGTTAGAGTGACTTCATAAAAGTGACTAGATAAAATAGAGAATACAATATTAAATATATTTTGACTAACTATTTTGCTAAGCAGGGTTAGAGTTGCTTTAACTACTGTTATTTTTTCAAATATTAATATTCAATGTTATTATTATTTTTTGTTTAAATGTTACTATTTTTTGTGTTTGAATTTTAATATTTTTATAAAAAATAGAAATAAATAGTCATATTCTATATATAAATATAGATGATATGAGAGAGAGAGAATTTTAATGCTAGTCAAATTCCTAAAATTTAAGAGTTGTTAGTTTTTAAATTTCTTTTAATTAAACATAACTATTAGTGGTATTTTGGACAATGAAAATCAAAATGAATTTCATATTAAACAAATTTTTTTGATAAATTTAATACCAAATAAATCCACAAAAGAGGACTAACCTCCAAATTTGCCTTTTAAAATAGTTGAACTTACTAATGAATTTTCTAGGCATGACATTCACAAAGCCAGACGGCCCAAGCAAGCCCATTACAAGCCTTATTGGGTTAATCCAATCCAACCAATTTAACCAAGCATCCCTAGTAGTTATTAGAGACGCCTNATGAATTTTCTAGGCATGACATTCACAAAGCCAGACGGCCCAAGCAAGCCCATTACAAGCCTTATTGGGTTAATCCAATCCAACCAATTTAACCAAGCATCCCTANTTTTTGTTATTTAAAGTGGATGAGTGTTAAATTGTCATAAAGTTGTATTATTTAAAGTTTGATTAGAATTATTATTATGATATAATTTTGGTTGAGTTGATGATTATACATGTTTTGAGTTAAAATTTTGAATTATATTATTGAAAATTAGTTAAAGTTAGTTGAAGTAGTCAACTAAAATAGAAAGCGTGGTTAGAGTGACTTCATAAAAGTGACTAGATAAAATAGAGAATATAATATTAAATATATTTTGACTAACCATTTTGCTAAGCAGGGTTGGAGTTGCTTTAACTAATGTTATTTTTTCAAATATTAATATTCAATGTTATTATTATTTTTTGTTTAAATGTTACTATTTTTTGTGTTTGAATTTTAATATTTTTATAAAAAAGAGAAATAAATAGTCATATTCTATATATAAATATAGATGATATGAGAGAGAGAGAATTTTAATGCTAGTTAAATTCCTAAAATTTAATAGTTGTTAGTTTTTAAATTTCTTTTAATTAAACATAACTATTAGTGGTATTTTGGACAATGAAAATCAAAATGAATTTCATATTAAACAAATTTTTTTGATAAATTTAATACCAAATAAATCCACAAAAGAGGACTAACCTCCAAATTTGCCTTTTAAAATAGTTGAACTTACTAACGAATTTTCTAGGCATGACATTCACAAAGCCAGACGGCCCAAGCAAGCGCATTACAAGCCTTATTGGGTTAATCCAATCCAACCAATTTAACCAAGCATCCCTAGTAGTTATTAGAGACGCCTCTCTGTCTCTANCATTACAAGCCTTATTGGGTTAATCCAATCCAACCAATTTAACCAAGCATCCCTAGTAGTTATTAGAGACGCCTCTCTGTCTCTATTTATATGCCTGCCGTTGCTCTCTATCCGTTCAAAACCCTAATTGTTGTTCGCAGCCTCTGCAATTGCTTCTCCTCCCCCCGCTCCCCCACCCCTCTCTCCTCTTCTTCTCCCTTTTTCTCTGTCTCATGTATTTCTTCTACTCGAGTTTGTCATATTTACGTGTTTCGGCGTGAAAACAATGGTCTAAGCAAGTCAGCTTCTTGTTTGGATCTCTACAAGCTACGATCCAGACAGTTAAATCAACATAAATTTGCAATAGAAAAGATTTGCCAGTATCACTCGCCTGAATCTGAACTCTTGGATGATTTTTCAGGCCCTTGTTCTACTGGCACATTATTTATCTTTCTAATCTAATCTCCATTCTGATTCCATCTGTTTCACATCCTTCTCTTTCATNTGGCACATTATTTATCTTTCTAATCTAATCTCCATTCTGATTCCATCTGTTTCACATCCTTCTCTTTCATTTATTGTGTTTTGCTTCGAACTATTAGTTTTTAAAGCTCCTGAAGAATTTCGAACGGTAACAAAGTTGTTAGAGCAATGCTTTTGAAGGTGAAATTTGNATTTATTGTGTTTTGCTTCGAACTATTAGTTTTTAAAGCTCCTGAAGAATTTCGAACAGTAACAAAGTTGTTAGAGCAATGCTTTTGAAGGTGAAATTTGATTTGGTTTGATGTATCGATTGAGATTGTTGTGAGAAAAGCAAACGCACTCTGTCCCATAACCGTCTTTTTAAGACGAATGTTTTGTGGCAATTTCTACGTTTGCTACATGAATGATTGTCGATTTTCAGATTCCAATTTACTCGTTCATATGGTCTTGTTCCAATGATCATTATTGGACACATGGGNTCTGTCCCATAACCGTCTTTTTAAGACGAATGTTTTGTGGCAATTTCTACGTTTGCTACATGAATGATTGTCAATTTTCAGATTCCAATTTACTCGTTCATATGGTCTTGTTCCAATGATCATTATTGGACACATGGTTGGATCACAATCCCTTTACCTCGTCATTTTTTATGTTTTCACCTACAAGCAACTTTCAAATTTAAAGTTTGAGATTATCAATGTATTTTACCCAAACATTTGTTTATCGGTTTTGAAAGCTAAACTGTTAAATTGTCAATATAATTTAATTACGATTATGAGAAAATTAATAACAATTGAACTAGAATTGAACCGAACAAGCTTGATTGGAAAGGCTATACAATTATAAAAAATGGTCAGGGGAGTGATAAACAGAGCTTATTTCTACTCTCGAACTCAAACTTAAATTTGAGTGAGTAAAAAATTGGATTTGGTATAGGCTTTTTTCATTGACAAATTCAAATTTAAAATAAATTAAATTTNTGAACTAGAATTGAACCGAACAAGCTTGATTGGAAAGGCTATACAATTATAAAAAATGGTCAGGGGAGTGATAAACAGAGCTTATTTCTACTCTCGAACTCAAACTTAAATTTGAGTGAGTAAAATTTAAAAAAAGGTGAAATATAATTATTGAATTGTAGAAGTTTGAGCTAAAGGCTGGGGTTTGCTTTTAATATGTTGAGAAAGTAGTGGAGATGACCTTATAGATATCTCACTGATGAGACTAACCATGATAGAGTATATACAAGAAGCTCAATGAATTTGTATGCTAGAGCGTATAATGAAAAGTGTGATAAAAGAGGTCGACCAATGAGAAAGGAAAGGAAATCGAAGATGAGTAAAATAGTACCACTAGATTTCTAGTAGGTTTCTTAGTCATAGAGACATGGGATCTACTCCCACTAAATACTGNGAAAGTAGTGGAGATGACCTTATAGATATCTCACTGATGAGACTAACCATGATAGAGGATATACAAGAAGCTCTATGAATTTGTATGCTAGAGCGTATAATGAAAAGTGTGATAAAAGAGGTCGACCAATGAGAAAGGAAAGGAAAGGAAATCGAAGACGAGTAAAATAGTACCACTAGATTTCTAGTAAGTTTCTTAGTCATAGTGACATGGGATCTACTCCCACTAAATACTGATAAAGTTAAAGATGATGCTTTTTCTTATAAATTGTATGATTGTTTCAGATTGCATGATCTCTCAAACCCTTCGACCAATTCCCTCAATATATAAATCCGGAATACATCAAATCGATTAGAGCCTTTCTCTGATATTTACGGATTTGTTTTAATATATAAATATGTATGCACATGGATAAAGGATATACAAGCTTAATTTGGAGTACTNTTCGACCAATTCCCTCAATATATAAATCCGGAATACATCAAATCGATTAGAGCCTTTCTCTGATATTTACGGATTTGTTTTAATATATATAAATATGTATGCACATGGATAAACGATATACAAGCTTAATTTGGAGTACTAGCACTACTATGTTGCCTAAACCTTAGTCCAAATGCGTCTGCACCACACATATTTTGTTGTGGGATCAAAAAATCAGCTTTTTTATTTAGTGTGGTGTAGATGCATTTGGGATACAAAATTTAAACTAAAACTTGGACAACACAATATTTTCTTAGTGAAAATATAAGTATATTTCTGTTTAATTGAATGCCCCAGTTAAACCCGATCTTTTGACGACTTACAACTGCCACAGCAGGGCCTTTAGAGTTGGTGCTTGGTCACTAACTTGAAATGAGTAGTCGGATGTTAGAGCATTTCCAATGAGACTATTTAAAATAGTTACCTAAAATATATTTAAATATTATATTATCTATTTTAACTAGTTATTTTTACAAATTCATTTTAACCGCGCTATCTATTATAACTAATTACTTCAACTAATTTTAACTAACCTTTAAAACTTGAAAGTGCTTCACATTACTAGATTTTTTGAGAGATTTTGTTAGATTTTTGAGAGGTTTTACNGAGTTGGTGCTTGGTCACTAACTTGAAATGAGTAGTCGGATGTTAGAGCATTTCCAACGAGACTATTTAAAATAGTTACCTAAAATATATTTAAATATTATATTATCTATTTTAACTATTTATTTTTACAAATTCATTTTAACCTTGCTATCTATTATAACTAATTACTTCAACTAATTTTAACTAACGTTTAAAACTTGAAAGTGCTTCACATTATTAGATTTTATGAGAGATTTTATTAGATTTTTGAGGGGTTTTATNTAATTTTAACTAACCTTTAAAACTTGAAAGTGCTTCACATTACTAGATTTTTTGAGAGATTTTGTTAGATTTTTGAGAGGTTTTACTATCTCAGTTCTTGATCTTCTCAACCTAAACTCAGTTCGTGATCAAGAATCTGAGAACCACCAACTATGAAGAGTTCCCAAGTTAAGATGATGGAGTTTATGAGAGAGAGAGAGAGAGAGAGCCTACCAAACAACGAAGTTTCTATAACGACGTCGATGCTGTGGACTGAACTTGGCGATGAAGACGATGTCTTCTGTTGAGAGAGCCTTCTGTGGAATGGGTTTGGCGATGAAGNGAGAACCACCAACTATGAAGAGTTCCCAAGTTAAGATGATGGAGTTTATGAGAGAGAGAGAGAGAGCCTACCAAACAACGAAGTTTCTATAACGAAGTCGATGTTGTGGACTGAGCTTGGCGATGAAGACGATGTCTTCTGTTGAGAGAGCCTTATGTGGAATGAGTTTGGCGATGAACACGATGCCTTCTATTGAGGAATAGCTAGCCACAATTGGTCACCAAATTCAGCGAGCCAATATTGGAAAATGGGTAATACCGAGTGAGATAGATAACACGTTGGAGCAAAAACTTATAGATTGACTATTTAAAATAACTAACATACTTCCTTTAGCTATCCCGTTAGAGTTGCTCTTAAAGAGAGATTCAGCAAGAGAATTGTGGCATCCAATTCAAGAGTCAAAATGTAAAGTTCCCGTTGTCTCTCTCTNGCCAATATTGGAAAATGGGTAATACCGAGTGAGATAGATAACACGTTGGAGCAAAAATTTATAGATTGACTATTTAAAATAACTAACATACTTCCTTTAGCTATCCCGTTAGAGTTGCTCTTAAAGAGAGATTCAACAAGAGAATTGTGGCATCCAATTCAAGAGTCAAAATGTAAAGGTTTCGTTGTCTCTCNCTAACATACTTCCTTTAGCTATCCCGTTAGAGTTGCTCTTAAAGAGAGATTCAGCAAGAGAATTGTGGCATCCAATTCAAGAGTCAAAATGTAAAGTTCCCGTTGTCTCTCTCTTTTTTTTTTTGGTTTAATGGTTAGGGTTGTCTGAACTAATTTAGACTAGTCTTTTTATCGGTCTAGTCAAAGACACCTTGACTTCTAAAACTAGAGTATTCCCAAAGAGTTGTGAAGATTTGAATTTGTTTTGGTTTACAACTCATTTTGGTTATCATTTAAACTCCCTCTTGAGATTAAAGATCCCAATTGTCAATCAATGGTTCCACGAATTTGGTGGGTGTCCTATGAAAAAAACCATATTTTCCTCCACTTTTTACTCACCAACTATGTATTGCCATTCCCCAAACCCAATCTGNTGAGATTAAAGATCCCAATTGTCAATCAATGGTTCCACGAATTTGGTGGGTGTCCTACGAAAAAAACCATATTTTCCTCCACTTTTTACTCACCAACTATGTATTGCCATTCCCCAAACCCAATCTACCAACCATTTTGCTAGGGCCTTCCACTTCTACAACCTTCTTATTATCCCATTTTCTCTCTCTATCTCTGTTGCTTTTTTTTGGGTACCATTCAATTAAAATTATTTCTCTCGTTCTTTTATCCAACCATCAATTGTTGATCAAATTTCTTGTTAGGATTAGCTGATCTGTTGAGAGATGGATCAGGCGGAGCTGCGTCGGGTTTTTCAAATGTTTGATCGAAACGGGGATGGAAAGATTACAAGGAAGGAGCTTAGCGACTCATTAAGGAACTTGGGAATATACATTCCTGATAAAGAACTCATTGAAATGATCGATAAGATAGATGTTAACAGGGATGGATACGTGGATATCGATGAGTTTGGAGAATTGTATCGATCCATAATGGACGACAATGATGAGGACGAGGACATGAGGGAAGCTTTCAACGTGTTTGATCGAAACGGGGACGGTTTCATCACGGTGGAGGAGTTGAAGTCCGTGTTAGCTTCTCTTGGTTTGAACCAAGGAAGAACACTAGAAGACTGCAAGCGGATGATAAAGAAAGTTGATGTCGATGGGGATGGTAGGGTTAACTACAGGGAGTTCAAACAGATGATGAAAGGTGGTGGATTTGCAGCATTGAGTTCAAATTAATACAAACAGAGAGATGTAAATTTGACTTTGCAACAGAGTAGAGATATATATGTACCATGCATTTCTCCATTCAGTAAAATATATTTGTTGGTACAAAATCTCTTATATTCCCTTTCTATGTTTTTATTTTTTAAAATTTTTTTCATCTTCCTGTTGCTGTGTGTTTATGATTTACATTTGGTATTTCTGTTCTCATAAATTTTCGATCCCGGACAGTTTTGTTCAATATCAGATCACCTAACAAGAATTCAAATGTTTTCTGATATATATATATATATATATATATATAAATTTGTTCACACCAATACAGAGAAGATGATCTGCAATTAAAGAATCTGCAAATATTTTCATGTCTATGTCTTGATTCACGTAAGATTCTTGAAAGTTGTTAAATAATCTTGGAAGGAGGCAGTTGAGAAAATATGTCTTAACCATCCCAAGTAAAAGAGCCAGATATAAAGATCAAATGCTGTATCAAATAAAAAGAAATTTAAAGAGCAAATACTGTACAGAAGAAGAAATCTTGAAATTGAACTTAAATTATATACAGATCTTACATGCACATGACAGACAGCTTGCTTTAAACGCTGAGGCTATTGATGGCATGAAAGATGTTGTACTTCAGCTTCAACTTTTCTCACATTATCAACAATTACTTGAACCTTTGAAGACAATTGTTCAGTTTGCTCCTCAACATCAGACAGAAGCTTAAGTAGTCTTTCTCGATAAGATGCACATAACTGGTCTTGAATCTTCAACTGCCGAGTAAGTTCTTCAATTTTTTTATCCTTGTCACCCTACAATTGTCAATGACCAAACCAGTTTTTTGTAAGAAACTGAACCGGTAAAACACACTTAAAGGTTACATATCAAAAACTACCACCTATAAAGTTAAATGTTCACCTTCAGCATCCTCATCAACTGTGCCTTACATGAGGCGTCAATAAACTCATTGCTCATGGCAAAGATCATCCTAACAGTTGTTCCCCAAGTATCCACGGCGCAAAAAGGCTTCTCAGGGTTCTCATCAACATATTCATTTTCCAATGCCATCTTCAAGTATCTATGCACATATACTTGTGTTTTGAACTTTTGTATGAAATAAAGGTATGCTAATTCTATCCCCCTTAGCATCTTTGTGTGAAGTTGCCAACGTGTTCAACCATGCCGGTTATTGCATATAGTTATCAAGACATATCAATGACATCTTCCATTTTGGAAGAATTCATCTGTTCCCCATCCCTCAACAACAACATTTTAAAAAAAAGCCAAAAAGATCATCTTTTTTATGCCATTATTTCCTCTAAATATATTTTCTTGTTCTTATTCATTCAAGCTCAATGATCTTCCATTCCTCCCTAATCAGCTGCTCCAGCCTTCCAAATCATCCCATTCTCCCCTAATCAGCTGCTCTAGCCTTCCAAATCAAATTGTCCACTGTTCTCTCTCTTAGCATGTCCACTAGATTCAATACAAATTCTTGTGTAGTATGACTATATTTTTCAGTAAAACTGATATTCACATCAGTTCTTTTCTTGAAAAAAAAATTGACATACTGACATCATATTACTATATCATTGTGCTCCATATTTCTTCAAAATAACATTGATTTCACTGTTGGATCTGGTAAAACTGATACAGCATAAGGTATTAACATCGCAAGCCAAAATTTTTATGGTGTATGAGAATCTAAATTGTGAGAAATGTAACTTTTAACTTCACATAGTCATAAACACCGGCTCAGCCAAGCATGGGATTTGCTAAAGAAAAAAGAATGCAACTAAGTGGAACAGTTAATAGTGCACATATAAGAACCCTAGATGCACAAGAATATATTGCTGCAAGGTGAGTGCCACATCGCACTTAATGCCCATTCTGAGAGCATCAGGTGACCGAAAATTCAAAGCTACACCTAAAAGAAAGAGCATTTCCTCTGAAAAAAAAATCAGACCTCTAATCCATGGCTTTCCATGAGCCTCAGTTTCAGCAACATTCTAAATGTTCTATAACTAATACCAAGAATATAAACATGGGCAATATATAATGAATATGAGAAAAGAGACTTGCAAATTATAATAAAATATAAGTGGGAAAAAAAAAACTCACTGGAGTTGTAAAGCCATGGGCAGTCACAACCAAAGGATGATTATGATCCTTCTCAAATCTCGTAACAACCCATTTTCCAGACTTCTCCATCTTCACTAAAATTGTTGCCTTGCAGCCTTCTCGTGCACTAGGCCGTGGCTTCTGATCTGGTCCAATTGTGCACTTATAATTAGGAGAAAACCCCTGCTTGTTACATCCAAGTCGCCGAGCAAGAGTTTTCCCATCAATGTCCGATCGACGGCGTTGCATAGTACGCACCACAAATCCCACCCTTCTGGCATATCCTACATAAAATTGCCTGGCAGACTCTTCAGATTCAAATTCCATACCCACAGATGGTTCAAGAACATCACCTCCCTCCAAATCAACCATGACTCCTTCGTCAGTGCTGTCAGCTACCCCATCTCTAGTGTTTGAATCCACTGCAACATGATATCAAGTACGATTACCAATAATTTTTCCAGTTTTGAGTCAATTAAATACAAAAATTCAGAAAACTAAAGCTATTTTTTCTATTGGGGCGCGACTAATTTTCTGGGCAATCAAACATGTGATTAGAAAAAACATAGCAACATGGGATTAGGAACACGATGACACATGATTCAGACTGGTTTCAAATAATGTATACACGACGACAAAATGCCCCAAAACTATTGATAAAATTAGCAGCTTTTAATTAATATAAATAAATGGTTGCGAATTTCGGGGGGCAATTGACTGGAAATATTGATTAGCGTTGACAGAGAGTTAGAAAGCGAAAGGCATGAGAAAATTTTGAAAGGAATCTTAATCTGAGCATATGAGAGTAAGAAGGATGTGTACTGTATACTCACTAAGAATCAATCAGGAGATCAAATCCCCAATTTCAAAACCCTAATTTCTACAACTCAGGGGAACTGGCCAAGGGTTTTGGCGCTGGAGGTCAAAAGAAATGGCTTCAGCCTTTAAATCCCTTCATTAATCAGCTACGTGCAGCCGCTCGAGTACGGCTTCTTTCGGTTTCGCTCGAATAATTCATAGTGATTATTGCATTAATAGTGAAATACTACTAACGTCTCCTATTAATCAAACTGGATTAGTCGATCTTGATTTGAATTTGGCTTGGGTTCTACTTGCTCAGGCTCGGTTTATTTTTTAAACGAGTCTAAACTTGAACAAATTTTTAGACTCGTTTAAAAAATAAGCCCTACAAGCTCGACATAAACTTGACAAACTCGACTCTTTTATGTGCAAATACTCAAGTTCAACTCGGATTCAACTTAATTTTGGTTTGTTTACGCTTAAACGAGCCGAACTTGAATAAACTTTTAAGTTCGATTAAGAAACAAATTTTTCAAGTTCGGCTCGAACTCGACTAGGACTCTTCGACAAACAACTCTAATGTCCGGGACCGAAGATACTCTATAATATAAAAAAAATAAATATTAATTATATAATATTTATATTTTAAATAAAAAATTATTTTTAATTATATTATTTAAAATTAAAGTGAACAAAGAGAAAATGAGAGAGAAGTGGGAAGAGAGAATAAAAAGATAGGTGTGAGTTAATAAGATTATTTAGAATTAGAAAGTGTATTACTGTATTAGTTGTGTTGTCTAACTTTTGATCAAAATAGATAGCTCAACACAGTATGAAATCTAAAAATGATATGACCAATTAATATGAATAATAAATTAATTAAATTAAAATTAAAGACAAATAATGCAATTAACTTATATTGTAAGTAAAAATATATATTTTAATTTTTTTCCCCACATATTTCTTTACATATATTATATGAGTTGATTTAAAATTAAATAATTTTTTACTAACAAGAATATAATACAAATCGAAAATAAAACAACAAGATTGACACCAATAACTCCCCACACTCTAAATGAAACTAATTTCANCCACATATTTCTTTACATATATTATATGAGTTGATTTAAAATTAAATAATTTTTTACTAACAAGAATATAATACAAATCGAAAATAAAACAACAAGATTGACACCAATAACTCCCCACCTATGAATATCCTTTTCTTCACCATTGAGCTTTATTAACATGAAATTGTTAAGCCAACATCATTATGTTATTAAAAATTATATAAACCTTTATGGAAGCCAAAACATTTACAACAATTTTGCGGGGAGCTAAGTAAAAAGGTTTATAAAATCGAGTATGAATTTTAATATCCTTAAAAAGAAATTATTTTTTTTTAGAAAAAAAGGCCTATGAAAAACATGTCAGGTGAAAAATGGGTGCATCTCGTGTCTTAATAAGTTTGTATCAAAAAAGTACATTATTTATATTCGACTCATTTATTAATTTGTATCTAATGAGTTATGTCATATCGAATTCGTGTTGTGTATAATCAGTATATAAATGAAATGTGTCATGTATTTCTTTTAATTAGTTTCATTCATACTAGATTTGTTTATTCAACATGTCTCATCGAATTCACTCATTTACGAAACATATAGCTTGAAGAAGACTCAAACCTTCTAACTATAAAAAGGGTGGAGCTATTTCAACCCCTTAAATCTCTTTTTCTACCCAATTTAATCATCTTACTTCAAACTACTAAATTCATTCCATTTATACTCACTTCATTAATTATNCTCATCGAATTCACTCATTTACGAAACATATAGCTTGAAGAAGACTCAAACCTTCTAACTATAAAAAGGGTGGAGCTATTTCAACCCCTTAAATCTCTATTTCTACCCAATTTAATCATCTTACTTCAAACTACTAAATTCATTCCATTTATACTCACTTCATTAATTACTAAGTTCATTCCATTTATACTATTAAATTTATCTCAAAGAAACATAAACCAAATTAGTAATTGTAGTGAAATTTTACTGTTTCGAGATAATCTATATTATTTCAAGGTATTTTAAAATTTTTTGATATATTTTCACCTATGCCTTTAGAATATTTTGAAGTGGTTTAAGATATTTTAGCATACTTTAACTAATATTTAAAAAAAATTATTAATTTTTACTCTACTTCTGAAATATTTTCATACCAAAATAATACATCAAAACGAAAATTTGATCATCGCCTATATATATTAGGTTAAAATAAAATAAAATAAATTTACTCCCCCCGTTTCTAAATATCTATCGTTTTACACAATTTTTTTTATTCCATAATATCTGTCGTTTAATGAAATTAAAATATAATTAATATTTTTTCTTTTAAATTTATCCTTAACTTTTCAATACATTAGATTAGGTGAATGCAAATGGTCTGTTTGTTTTGATGTGGATGGAAAATGAGAGAAGGAAAATGGGGTGGATGAAAAAACTTTTCATTATTTGANATAAATGAAATGTGTCATGTATTTCTTTTAATTAGTTTCATTCATACTAGATTTGTTTATTCAACATGTCTCATCGAATTCACTCATTTACGAAACATATAGCTTGAAGAAGACTCAAACCTTCTAACTATAAAAAGGGTGGAGCTATTTCAACCCCTTAAATCTCTATTTCTACCCAATTTAATCATCTTACTTCAAACTACTAAATTCATTCCATTTATACTCACTTCATTAATTACTAAGTTCATTCCATTTATACTATTAAATTTATCTCAAAGAAACATAAACCAAATTAGTAATTGTAGTGAAATTTTACTGTTTCGAGATAATCTATATTATTTCAAGGTATTTTAAAATTTTTTGATATATTTTCACCTATGCCTTTAGAATATTTTGAAGTGGTTTAAGATATTTTAGCATACTTTAACTAATATTTAAAAAAAATTATTAATTTTTACTCTACTTCTGAAATATTTTCATACCAAAATAATACATCAAAACGAAAATTTGATCATCGCCTATATATATTAGGTTAAAATAAAATAAAATAAATTTACTCCCCCCGTTTCTAAATATCTATCGTTTTACACAATTTTTTTTATTCCATAATATCTGTCGTTTAATGAAATTAAAATATAATTAATATTTTTTCTTCCAAATTTATCCTTAACTTTTCAATACATTAGATTAGGTGGATGCTAATGGTCTGTTTGTTTTGATGCGGATGGAAAATGAGAGAAGGAAAATGGGGTGGATGAAAAAACTTTTCATTATTTGGTATGGAAAGAAAGAGTGATGGAAAGAAAAATTAGAGGGAAGGTTTTTCCTTCTTGCCCACAATTTATTCCCCCCCCCCCCCAAAAAAAAATGAGGAGAAGCAAACAAAATTTGACCTTTGAATGATAATTTTTCTTTTTTGCCCTTTTTTCTTTTGCTAATTATTTTTTTACCAACACACAAAATGACTTTATATATTTAAAGGGTAGAATTATAAAATTGGGTATGTATGATTTTCCTTTTCGTTAATTTTTCATCTAATACTAAACGATGAAAATATATTCCTTCTATTTTTCATCCCTCCTAATAAACAAAAAGGAGGAAAAATAACTTTCTTTCCTTCATGGAAGAAAAGTTTATTCCTTCCACTTTTCCTTTCTTACTACTTTTCATCATTCGTACTAAACGGACCATAAGTGTTTTTCATATTTCTTTCATTCCCAATACGTATTGAATAAGAATATGGTAGTCTTATACAATTATTTTTTACTCATATTAGATTTATTTAATAGTTTCCTTAATCCCTGTGTAACAATTTTAAACGATAAATATTTAGGAACGGAGGGAGTAACTTTTAATTAGTGAAGGATTTAGTAGCTAACGGAGTGAGTATAAAAATAATGAATTTAATAGTTTGAAATAAAATGAAAAAAAAAATTTTAAAGGTGAAAATAGCACCCACCAAACTTTGTATTTGGCATAATGGAGTGGTATTGAATTTTGATACCAATTATGGCAAGTGAAAATAGTTACTTGAAAACGGAAAGGAAAACTCAAGAAAGGGGAAATTGTGAATGCGCATCAATGCTTACCTTAAATTGCAGAAGAGACTCGCGTTTGCTTCTTGAGCTCATTTGTAATTGCATCGCACTCCAAACACTTCAAAACCTCCTCTCTCTCTCTCTCTCTCTCCAACGGACGAAGCACGAGGCTCTATAGAAATTGAGTGGGACTTGGATCTCCGAATCTAGTAAGTCTTGCATTTCCGTTGTGTTATAGATGTTAATCGCATAATTGTATTCGATTTTGTGATCAAGCAGTGGATATTATGACTCTTGATCTATATTCTGACTTCCACCATGTTCCGGGGAATGTAAAAACCTAGATATCCGGCTGGTTGGTTTTAACATTTTTCATCAAAACTGTTTGGTTGTTGGGAATTCACAAAAGAAAGGGAAAAAAAAAATTCATCATTAGGTCCCCTAAATTGAATTAGAGTGAGTTGATTTTCATCATTACAAGGATTGGCTTCTGGATAGTGTTACACCCGAATCCAAAACTTGCTTTTCGAATGTTAACTCTTTAGCATTTACCTCTGTTTTGCTGAATTTTTATGTGTAGAAATAGCTCTAGCTTTGTCTGATTCTGTGGAAAACTAGTTACCTTAGAGTTTTCTCAAAATTTTCTGGCTCTAGGGTTTATTGTGTTCTCTGTTCTAATTGAAAAAGGAAATGGATAAAGTGATACTTATAATTTGGTCGAAACCAATTGAGCTGTCTGGAATGAATGATTGGTTTTGTCGGACAAGTTTAGTGGTGGCATCGATAATAATAAGCTTCCATGAGTTGACGCATCTCGCATTCATTCACAAAATATGAGGTTTATTGACTAATTTTGTCAAACTATTCACTTTTATTGTAAATTAAATGAGGTTTCATGACATAAGCTTGGCTAACTGGGGTGGAAGGTTGGTTGCATCATGTTTAAACGTGTAATCTTACAGAGTGTGATGTTATGCCACAGTGGATGAAGACCCATCTGTACATCACGATGCGGAGATGACAGAGAGTTCGAATGGGAAAGAGCTAGTTACAAATGGAGGAAATTTGGATATGGAACCACATGTGGGTATGGAGTTTGAATCAGAAGAGGCTGCCAAGGTCTTCTATGATGCATATGCCACGCGCTTGGGGTTCGTCATGCGAGTGGATGCATTTCGGCGATCAATGCGTGATGGGAAGGTGGTTTGGCGTCGACTTGTGTGTAATAAAGAAGGTTTCCGCAAATGCAGACCGAAACGGAGTGAAAACAGGAAGCCCAGAGCAATTACGAGGGAAGGGTGTAAAGCAATGATTGTTGTGAAGAAAGAGAAGAGTGGAAAGTGGATCGTTACAAGATGTGTTATGGAACACAATCATCCGTTGGTTGTTGCACCTGCCAACAGCCGTCGCACTGTGCTCCTATCTCAAACACCGGTAAGTGCTTGAGATACAACAATGTTCATTTCTGTACTTCTAACTTGAAGGGAAAACTAAATTTATGTATTATGCTCATTTCTTTGCTTTTCCAGATTGTGTTTCAGTTACAATCTAATTGTTGAGGGCTCCTATGATCTCAAAATATATTCTGCATATAACATACTAAAATGGTGTCTATGACTTGGTTGTAAGCATAAATAATATCAACTTTGCTCCGCTGTTTCCTTCCAGCTTAAAAAAAGTAGAAGAGGAAGAAATAAAAATGAAAACGAAAGGAAAGGAAAAGGAAAAGCCTTGCTCTGCTGAAAGGCTACTAAGTACAAGTAGAGAATCGGGTTCATCACATATACTTTCAACAACCGTGATCCTTTTGGTGCAATTTGCAGAGTCATGTAGAATGTGCATTCATATTCTCACTAGCTTTTTGTCATACTCATTGTAGAAAGATAGGGTTTTTTCGCAATATTTTTTCCATCATCTTTTTTTATGTCTACAACTATATATTTCATCCAGCATCTTTTTATTTCGGATTATTTCAGGATGATAAAGATGTAAAGATTCGGGAGTTGACAGCTGAGTTACAGCGAGAGCGAAAACGATCTGCAGCTATTCAAGAACAGCTTGATATGGTTCTGAAGGATATGGAAGAACACTCCAATCAACTGTCAAGAAACATTGATGATATAGTTCAAAGCGTGAAAGAAATAGAATCAAAGAGAGTAGTCGTCTCACATCACTAACAGGCTCATTAGTTGGTCTATTGGACTTTGCCATTGTACACCTTCTTCGTTTCGTCAATTTCTTTTTTCCGGACTGTAAATGTTTTGTAGGTTGAGATGAATTTTCTGAACTTGTAAAGTAAGATAGGTTCAACTTTATTGACATGTTTTAAGCTCGTCTTTGTGGTCTTTCACTCATATAAGAAGGAAAATGTTGATTTGGTTGTTTTGAGAGTCTGAGACTTCATCTTTGCAATGAATTCAGTGAATCCCAAAGGGCGAATGCAGCTAGAGGATAGATTTCAGTTTAGTTTAACAAGTGGAGCAGAGACTTCAGTTTAGATTTCAGTTTGAAAAAGACCAAAATCTTCTAATTTCGGATTGTGTTATATTTTGACATCTTTAATTATGATGGATGTTTGTTGTAAGTTCAGTGACCGAAAACACTAATCTCGCGCTATGTCTTCCTTTTTCCGCCATCTTTGAGGGTAAGGACCGCTGCAGTAATCACTGTAGCAGCTTGTTACGACTTTTTGATCAAGAGATAGCAAAGTCTAGCCCATGTGTATATGAAAACGGTAGACGCCATATGATGTAGAACTGTTTTAACCATAAGCTTGGTTTGGCTTAGTCTGGCTTCAGTTGTTTCCACTCAGGGCAGGCCCAATAGGAAAAATAAAAAAACGTAGACTTTAGACCACCTATAAATGAAATTTGGGTTTTTTAACAGTCGGTACACCTAATTAGACTTATTTGACAAAAAATACACAGAACAAAATGTGAATTAAAAAGACATAAATACTCATTTTAGGGTCATTTAATTCAAAATCTCTTATCTTTAATGGACCTTGATTCATGTGTGTTTGTTAATACATATAAATACGTATTTAATACACATTTGATTCATTTGTATTTGTTAATACATGTAAATATATATATATATTTGTTGGTAAATTTTTTATTTAAATTTTGAATTATCTTTAATACACCTTGATTCATGCGTATTTTTTTTTTTTAAAGTGATTTTGTTTTCAAATCATATTTAATGCACTTTGATTCAAGCAATTTTTTTTTTTTTTTTTTGGAAAATAGTTTTATTTTCAAATTAATTTAATATCCGAATAATGTAATAGTATAATAATAACAGTGTAACAAATACACTGTAACAAAAACAGTGTTCAGTAATTTTGTGTATATGGTAACAAATTCAAAGCGGAGATAGACTATTTTGAATGAAATTATATGAAACTATACGTTTGACAAAATGTAATAGTATAATATTTTGTGTAAATAGCTTGTTACACTATTATTGTTATACTGTTACATTGTTAGTATTACACTGTTACACTTTTATTGTGACACTGTTATTTTTACACTGTTACACTTTATATTGTTACACTATTCGAATATTAAATTAATTAAAAAATAAAACCACTTTCTAAAAAAAAAATATATGAATCAAGGTTCATTAAAAGATAATTCAAAATTTAGATAGGAGGTTTAATAACAAGTATATACATACATACATAAATAAGTATATATAGATATATCTTTTGGCTGGCCCGTCCATTGTCTAGATACGAAGGATGTGAGATGTGGCCCGATTGATTTGATGAATTTCTTGTTGACTATTCTTTTGTCGATTTTACCATCGTACTCCCAATATTAATTCAATGCATTTATTTTTGTTGGTAAAATGCAGGGCCATTCAATTAATTTCGGATTCGTCGAGGTTCAACCAAAAAAATAAAATAATTTCGGTTCCTTGACCTGTCGGTGGCAATTTCTGCCATTTTGTAACCCACCTTCCCGTTGAATTAAAAAAAACCCACTTACAGTGATTATTAGTAAAGGTGTTAAATATGTCGGGATAGATCGTTTCGAGTTTATGTCGAATATTCTAAAATATAAATTTGACATGTTTAATAATTGTGTTGAGATGTATAAACACTAACTTGACTTAACTATTAAATATGTTACTCGAACTTGACTTGTTTGACATGTTTAATAAACAGGTAATTTTCAAGTTCACACACATAACATGACATGTTTAATTGGTTTAACACACATAACTTGTTCATTATATTAATATACCATTTAATCGTTCATCCAAAATTTTAAATAATTTTTTAACTAATAACATATCACATCTCATCAATGAAATTAAATAAAATGCATTCAAGTTTTAATCCAAAAATTAAAAAAAGAACTATACTATTATAATGTCATAATAATGTTAAAAATTATACTGTTAATTACCATGATAGAAGTAATAACTAATAAGTAATAATATTAAGTCTACATCAACCATAAATAATAGGTAAATTATACTGTCATAAACGGGTCTATAATGAGTTATGTCGGATTCGTGTCCGAATTATGTCAATCTGTTTAAAATATACGGGGTTAGTCAGGTTAAAATCAAGTTGACCCGATTTTGACATGAACCTAACATAATATTTTTTGAGTAATCCTAAACTGACTAAATTTTGAGATTAAATTTGGAGCCTAAATAACATGACAGCTGACTTGAACTTTTTTATTTGGTGTTATGTTATTTAGACACTAATAAAAACTCCAAATAATATATTATTATTTTATTTAAACTTTAAATTTAGTCTTAAAATTTGATCAGTATAACGTTAATTTTACTTTTTTGTGCTTAATATTTTAATATTTTACTGCGATGACAGATGAGAAGAGGAAGAAGCTGAAGGAGACGACATCATAGACGACAAGATTCCTGGCCGCTTCATTGTCAGGAATGCACGGTGATTTGTTGTTGTTGCTTTGTCTGTTTTGGTCGGATGAATTTGGGGTGAGACTGAGTCCGATGAAGACGGCGACGGTGAAGAGGGCGTTGACGTTCACTATGCCGTCTAGTGCTGTAATGTGGACGCTAGTGGAGGAGGAGAACCATAACTTAGGTGTTCTTGTTGGTTGCTGGTTTTGTTCATTTGGGTGTGATCCTGGTAAATCTGACCTGTAAAGTAATTGATATTTCAAGAAATTCAGACAATGGGCACTCACCCTGTTTTTATCGCAACGGCCAACAATGGCTGTTTCAAAAGACACACACACAGTATATATATATATATACATAGAGAGAGAGAGAGAGAGAGAGAGAGAGAGGGGTTACTCTTCCATGATTGAAAATGTCTATGTTTCTTTATTGGTTGTCGGGCTTCTCCAATGGAGGGAGAGAGAGAGAGAGAGAGTTATAGCATATATGGGTTGCTGTTTATTTTGCTGCATTTGTTTGAGAAGTATGCACTTATTATATTGTGGCTTAGCTTGCTTAGGTTTGTTTTTGGATAACTAGAGGATCGAAATGAGTGGATGTGAGAGGGACAGCAAAATGAAAGAAACTGAAGGACGGCGATAGGAGAGAAAATATTCATTACCGTGATACTACAACGTAGTAACAAATAACGTGGGCAACTTTGTCGGTGGCTTAGGGCCTCATTTTGAGAAGGGGCCCCATATTTTTTTATGATAATTCAAAATAATTATTTTTTGGGTCTTGTTAGTCTTCTCCGAAGTCTCCTCTTCTCCGGCAGATACAATGTAACTGTGTTTGTATACTTTTGCATGTCACAACTTACCAAGTAATGGTGCTGGAATTTAAAAAATTAATTAATTTCTTTGTGATGATATATCAAATAATATAGTAATGTTATTGGGATTTAAAATTTTAATTAATTTTATTGTGATAATATATCAAATAACTAGTTATTATCTGTGCCTAAAGATACAGAGTAATAAAAAATGATAAACAATAAATATATTTGATTCAAAAACATAAAAGAGATATAAATGAATTTAAATATCGATTGTAGTAGAGGTAAAAAGTGGTGGGCGGCAGTGGTGGTGGTAGGAGATAGTGATGGTTGTGGTGGGTGACAATGACTGTGGTGTCAGTGGTGGTGGCGACGACTACAATGACGATGACTGTGGTGGTGGTGGCGGTGATGGTGACAATGGTAGTGACGACAGTGGTGATAGATGTAGTGGTGGAACAATTTCAAACATTATTTTTTTTAAAAAAAATATTTATGAGAAATAATTTCTATAAATACTTTAAAAAAGTTATTTCAAAGACACTCTTAGGAGTTTATTTTTTATATTAAATTTAAGGTGTTAATATTGACCGTTAGATTAACTTTAAAGTAAAATTTAAAGTAATTTGAACCGTAAAAAATAAAAATTATTTTATTTATCTTTTAAAATTTAAATTGTAAACTATTTTATTATATAGATATAGTCTCATTCATTCAGGAGCGGGTGTCAGGAATATTTATAAGAAGGGGTAAAATATAATTGATACAAAAAGAGTGAGTCCAAAAATGACAAAAATTACGAACCAAGACAAAAATGTTGTGAAACCCTGTCCATGATGCAATGAAAGGATCAAATATTTAAGTGGTTCACATTGATTATATTGCATTTCTAGTGAAGAGATTCCTCATCATGTACACAAGTTTCTCTTGAGCTAGAATATATCTGATACTAAACTTTTCTCTAAGAAAGAAAACTAAATATATGAGAAGGGCTAAAGCTGAAGACATCCCACTTATAAGATATAAACCACCAAAACTACCAAGGTTCAGAATGGTGGGTTTGGTCTCAGGGCTCTGGGACTCGGATATAAAAGACAATGGTGAATTAAAATATCTATCCTCTTTAGTATCCTGTCGTCTCTTAGCAATATACAATTGCCCTTGAAATCTCAGGTACCAAAGGTGAACCTTTTCGGAACATCTGCATAGAAGATTCATAAGCNAGAAAGAAAACTAAATATATGAGAAGGGCTAAAGCTGAAGACATCCCACTTATAAGAAATAAACCACCAAAACTACCAAGGTTCAGAATGGTGGGTTTGGTCTCAGGGCTCTGGGACTCGGATATAAAAGATAATGGTGAATTAAAATATCTATCCTCTCTAGTATCCTGTCGTCTCTTAGCAATATACAATTGCCCTTGAAATCTCAGGGACCAAAGGTGAACCTTTTCGGAACATCTGCATAGAAGATTCATAAGCAATCAACTAAGAGGCTAAATCTACTTATTCATATTATATATGGATAGCATTTTCGCAAACATGTCAATATCACATGATCTCGACATAAAATTAGTAGATTAAGACTTAATGTGGTTTACATAAATTCGAATATATCATGATCAACTAACAATTATAGACAGGACGTCTGTTTTAATTGTCATTGCATGAAAAAAAAATATTTATCTTTTTTTCAATTTTTTTTTTTTATTTCAGGATCTGGTATTGTATGACCTCTTTTGGAATTAGAGGATTGTTTATGCAATAGTTTTGCTAGCATTTGGATGGAAATTGAATTTTAGTTTATAGGGACCAATGGGCAGTGGGAATGAAGTTCTAGACTTGACGGGTTATGTCGCACCATCCCGAAAATGATACGACTAATAAACATGAGGTTAGTATTATGTTATCTAAAATGATCGATTAAATGAATTAAGTTAAAGTTGATTACTTTTCAACATGAAGCCGAATTGACACAACAGGATTATATTGTTTACCCCTACTCATACTTTTTACCTCCTAGCGGGTAGAAGAGAAAAAAGAAGAAAAGAAAAATTCTATTGATTGTTCTTATCGGACAACTCTTACGGATTTATTCATGTGCCCATAGGAGGAGTTGATTTACATGTATACGATAGGGTTAGTTGGGTATTACCCAAAAAACCCAAATATCTTTAAGTTGTTTTAATAAAATACTAATGTGTTATGTTTTCGAAGAGCAACGGGGACGAATAAATAGTTTGTGGAAAGAACAATAATACCAATTAGACATAATTTATGAATCCAATTCATTTATCTAAACTAGATGTCATTGGATTGAAAGTAAATTCGATCCAATACAAAGACCTACTGTTAATTCAAATGCATCAATAGATTAGATTGACAAATTAAATCAACAAATTAGGCCAAATAGCAGTACTCTTGAAGAAGGGCACTCACAAAGGTAAAACCATTGGTGGTAGATCTGAAATCGATCATGGCGTGGCCAGCAGAATATTNATATATGAGAAGGGCTAAAGCTGAAGACATCCCACTTATAAGAAATAAACCACCAAAACTACCAAGGTTCAGAATGGTGGGTTTGGTCTCAGGGCTCTGGGACTCGGATATAAAAGATAATGGTGAATTAAAATATCTATCCTCTCTAGTATCCTGTCGTCTCTTAGCAATATACAATTGCCCTTGAAATCTCAGGGACCAAAGGTGAACCTTTTCGGAACATCTGCATAGAAGATTCATAAGCAATCAACTAAGAGGCTAAATCTACTTATTCATATTATATATGGATAGCATTTTCGCAAACATGTCAATATCACATGATCTCGACATAAAATTAGTAGATTAAGACTTAATGTGGTTTACATAAATTCGAATATATCATGATCAACTATGGCAAGAAAGACTTTGATGTACGGCATTTCATCAACAATGGCAGCAACACCACCACTCTTATTTCCTTATGACAAAGCATTGGCGTATTCCTCCGGTGAAAACTATTGTTGAGCCATATTGTCAGAGAAATTCAAGTTGCTAACAGTAACTCCTTGCACAAAAGAGCCATACTGGTACCCTACTTGATCCCTCATTGATGATAATTGAATTTGTTGAAGCGTCAAGAGTGAACTCAGAGTTGCAGTTTAACTCGAAGTCAGTATGAGCACCAAGAAGACCCAAATGATCACAACAAATTTAGACAAGTTACTCAACAATTTTTCTCCTGCAGTGCCAAACACCATTGTTAGCTCATTAGAGTGTTTGCCTATATATATATATATAGAAAACATATACAGATCCTTATATGCAAGCAATACAAAGAATCGTGTGGGGATGAAATGAGGGATAAGTAGTGCCTTTTGGTCCCCAGGGTCTTTGCCCTCTAATTCGGTGGAGGACTGCTCTATAATCTGGTGGCACTCGTGTGGCTTCGACTTGCTAAATGTTGTTCTGAGTGGTTTGGTGGTCTTGCTGCAGCAGCTTGTGGTCTACATCAAAACCTCTCTAGGCCAAGAAATCGGAACACAACCAAATATTGTGTGTTTGTGTGCGCGCACATATAGATAGATAGAGAGAGCTTACTATGAGCAAAAACAAGGGTTGAAAAAGAGAACCACAAGACGGTTCCAATTTGCTGAGCTGGTGAACCTTGGAATTCTTCATTTATAGGATATTCAATAACCCAAACAACAAAGCCCGTTAAAACAAAGAAAGCTGCACTTGTTAGCCACAGATCTGAATCAAGCGGCCTCAACAAGATCCACATGTTTTTGTTGTCCATAGGTTTACGTGCTATAGTTCTNGCTGAGCTGGTGAACCTTGGAATTCTTCATTTATAGGATATTCAATAACCCAAACAACAAAGCCCGTTAAAACAAAGAAAGCTGCACTTGTTAGCCACAGATTTGAATCAAGCGGCCTCAACAAGATCCACATGTTTTTGTTGTCCATAGGTTTACGTGCTATAGTTCTAACACCTAAATCGGAGTAAGGCAATGTAAAATCAACATTTAGAGATTGTTAAGAATAGTAGGGTAGTATGTGTAAATTATTAATAGTAAGAAGGTGTATGTGTAATTCTTATTATTGTAGGTCAACTATAAATACAAAGATGTCTGAGAGTTAGGTTAAGTTTTTTAACCTCTCTCTTTGTCTCTAATATTATATTAATCCTCCAAACTTAACATGGTATCAGAGCGTAAACGATCCAAAATATATTAACACTGTAGTACTGTAGTGGTGTGGTTGTGGTGGCTGTGGTCTCTGTTCATCGCCCACTTGCGTCGTTCGTGTTGGTGGTAGTGTGGTGGCGTGATCACTTGTGGTGGTGGTGGTGGTGGCTGTGGTGGTCTTGCTATTGATGTCAGCTTGTGGCGTTGTACTGTTGTTGTGGCTTCTGTTATTCTGTTCATCGGTCGTGGTAGTGGTTGTAGTGTTCGTTCGTGGTAGTGGCTGTGGTGGTCTTGCGATTGAAGTCGGCTTGTGGTGTGTACTGTTGTCGCAGACCAGAGGGTTGCTATCTATAACCAGCGAGGAAGAAGAAAGGATCCAACGAGGTCTANTGATGTCAGCTTGTGGCGTTGTACTGTTGTTG